AAAAATTTAACTTGACTACTTTAAAAACAAGAAGAGGCGATTTGATTCAATTTTATAAAATATGTAAAAATATGGATAAAGTTAAATGGAATCAACCTCCTAAAATAATTAAATATGCAATAACAAGAGGTCATGCTCAGAAAATGCAAAAACAATTTACATATTCTACCACAAGATTTAACTTTCTTACAAACAGAATAGTTAACAATTGGAATAATTCAACAGAGGAGATAATTAATTCTAAAAAAGTGAACATCTTTAAAAACAAGTTTGATCGTTTTGAAAAAAACAAAATAAAAATAAAAAACAAACAAAACAAAACAAAAAAATATAAAATATAAAAAGAAAAAAAACAAAACACTTTTGCAACGGCTGTCAAAGTTTTAACATCTTCAAATGTTAGACTCATACATTGTATGTGCACAGCAAAAATTTATTATTATTATTATTATTAAAATTGATTGTTAACTTGGTTAAAAATTATTGTTAACTTATAATATATAAAGTTTTATAGTTTATTCAAAAATAATAATGGATTACTCCATAACTCAGTTATAAGCTATAAAGTTTAAATGGTTCTATCTACTTTAAATAGTTTTAATTCAAGGGCTGATCTGGATCTGGGTGCGGATTCAAAACTGTTTCAAAAGTCCAAAATATGCGTAAAGTTTGCGTAAGTTTTGCTTAGGTTCAAAGTTACGCAAAATCATATTTATAAACCTTGCGTAAGCAAAAACTTACAAAATTCCTAAGTTTTTACGTAAGTTATTACTTACGCAAAAAGTCTAAAAAACGATATTCACAACATTTTCCTTAAAAGCGCTCAGCAAACTTTACCCAAGAAAAGTTACATCTGCTATTTTTTTACTTTTGAAGTTTGGCATAACTTTAAATTATCTAATAATATTATAAAATGACGTTTGTATTATTGTAAAAGATTTCAGATTTTGTTTGTTATTGCCAATAAAATATAATTTTATACTGCTATACGTTAAGTTATTTTTTTAAATAATACAACTATAACTTTTTTTTCAGCAACAACAATAGCAATATATTTACCAAAAATATAAATATACTACATAAACTTGTTTTATAAAACTTGTTTTTACCTTAAATTTAAGGTTAAAAAAATATACATACAATCTATGTAACGGATAGTTCACTCTTATAGCCTAGCTAAAACAAGGAGAGTGACCATAGAACGGATATATCATATAGTTTTTTAGTATGCCAATAACTTATTTAGTAACGACTTAATAACTAGTTATTTTCATACTTCAAAATTATATGATGTATCATATAGTTACACTATGTTAACTCATGGTTGTATATATACTACACTATCTATACTATACTATACAAAATTATATGCAATAATATTATTGAAGCATATATTTTAACTTGCATAACTAGCATAAAGCGAGAGAGAACCTCTCTCTGTGTGCGAGAGGGGGAAATATGTGTGCCAATATAGATACAATATTCACAAAAATATGCAATTTATTCATTAGTTATTCCAATTTCTATTTTTTTTTTTTTAATTTATAAATGAGAACAAGGCTATTTCAAAACAAAATAATTTTAAAATTATCTTTTAGTAATCAGGCTAATAATAAAACAAAGTATTATAACCATAATATTAAACTTATTTTAAATAATGATGCTTTTGTTTGTCAATTATTATAGTTATCCAGAGGTATTGAGAATATTAAGATTATTTGGAATAATATTGCTCTGTTGTTAGTTATTTCAATTATCAAGAGATAATATCTATGGATAATTTAAATTATTAAAAAAAAGAGCATTGTTTTTCAAAGCCTAATTTCTTGTTTAATAATATAATTATTTGCAAATAATAAAAATATTTTATGATAGTTTAAATTGTTTTGGTAGATCTTTTATTTTGTATTTCTATATAAAATCTCATTGTTGTAGTTTATTATTGCAAAGAGCAGGAACTCCATAAAAAATTTCTTGATACAACAGTTAGTCCAAATGGAATGCTTTTCACAAATTAGTAGAATTGTTATCTGTTGAGAATAGTATTACAATTCTTGAGATGAAAGCAAACTGTTCACATTGGTTGTAGCTATTAGATTGTACTATTTTTGGTGCCTTGAAAACCTACTACATACTTGTTGTTCTGATTTAATCAATATTTGCTCTGTCTCAATGAGTCAAACTTTTTATATCAAATATAAGAATGTTTTTATTCATGCAAAAATGGTAACATAAACTCTCAATCAGAAATATCACTGAAAAATCTAATAAAAAACAAGTGGATTTTAATTTAATTTCAACTTTTATTAATTATGTTAACACAACTGAAACTGTATGCATCGAAGTTAAAATTTGTAGATTTATATCGACTAGATAGTCACACAGCAATAATGTATTTTTTCATAATATGAATGGGAAAATTGTTGAACTTTTGTTTATGTTTTCAAAATGTTCCATATATTTCTGATAATTTGAACTTTGTTTAAAAACAGTTTTAGTTAATTTTTGTTAATAAATTAACTTGAATGCAATCAATAGTATTTCTTGGATTTATTGAAGCAATTTTTTCATGTCAACTGTGAAACTTTATGTTGTTTCTTTATGAAACTGTCTCTTCATATAGAAAATAAAAGTGTTGTTGATTCAAGTCAATTATGTGTTTAAACAAGACCACTGAAAAGAAAATTTGACAATTATTATGTTTTCTTATATCCTAGTGTGTTAAAATGTTAAAACAAGAAGTTAATTACTTTAGAAATGTGAAATTTTATGCTAAACTAAAGTATTTTGGTTTAGCTTCTTAAAGCTATGCTAGACACGTTGCATGATCTGAGCAGGGGTGAACCCAGACCTTTTTTGGTACAATAGGATCGGTATGGGTGCTAAAAAAATGCCTAAAAATATTAATTTCTTGTAGTTTTTCTTTTTCTTTTTACATTAAAAATTAAAAAAAAAAAATTCTTTTAAATCCTATATTCATTTAGCTAGTGATGTTTACAAAAAAGGTTTGCAACAGGTTAGGGTTTTATAACTTGCCACATCAAAGGGTGTCTGAAAAATAAATTCTAGGTTCATCACTGCGAAGAAAGAATAAAGAAAAAGCAGAGGGTAAAAATAATTGATTTTTTAACTATTCAAATAATTAAACAAACAATTCAAAAATTATAGTATTAAAATAACGGTAGTATACAGTTATTTGAATGATTAAATAAAACCAATGGGCATTCACTGATGGCATCATACAGGAAGCCAAATAGTTATCTTTTATAAGCTCAGGATAATACAATTTATACTACCCATTTGGGTTTAGGCAAATATGCCCTCATTTCTTATTGAGTGCTTGTAATGTTTATATTTATAATAATAGATAAGAAGCATTTTGTTAATAAATAATATCTCATTTAAAAAACCAACTGACTCTTAATTGGTAAATTTTTCTAATTTTCGATAATTGATTATTTTTCTAATAAATATTCAAAATAGATTGAAAGACTGTTTATGCTATATATGCTATTAATTTTGAAAGTAACTGCTTGTATATGCTATATAAGGCTATTCAAATACTACGAGACACTTTTTTTGCAGTTTTTAGACTCAACCCTCCTCCCTTCTCTTTGTATATGTGATATTTTAAACAAACCCTCCCCGCCCTCTTTGTGATGTAACATTTTTAAAAAAATATACCTTTGAATTTGTTACTTTTTTGCTTAAAGTTTAATAATCCTCTGTAATTAGAATTTAAATTTTAAAACTTTTGTCATGTCACACTGTACCTAACCACTCCCTCTCCCACGCAATATTTAGTGACACTCTCAAACACCCTCCCCCCGCTCCCCACACACACCACCACCAGCTATTTAAGAATGTCACGTATTATTTGAATAGCCCCTATATGCTTTTGCTATACTTTTAAATATAGTAACAAAAAAAAATAATTAAAATCTAAATAAATGTAAGCCCTGCCTCTAAAAAAAGGATGCATTAACAGTTTGTTCATTTTGCTATGTATGTCTTAATAATAAAGGCTTTAGTAATATCAACTACTTCCTTCATACAAACTGTTGTAAAATATTGCCGCGTAAGTTTTTTCCTAAGTTTTGCGTAACTCATGCGCAACCTTAACTTTACGCGAATGCTGCGAAAAAGTTATGAATACCAAATAGTTTCGCAAAAAATAAATTTGCGTAAGTTTTTCGTAACTTTTGCTCAGCTACGCAAGAGTTATGGAAAAGTTGTGAATAAGCACCCTGAACTTAACAATGATATGGTAACATGATTTTAATCAAGGGGTTGTTCAAAAGTTTTGTTAACCCTAAACCAAAGCAATACTAGAGTTAAAATATACATTACTTTTATACTCTGAGAGCATGATACAAAAAATAGCTGAAATAAAACAAAAACCAACTTTAAACTTTAGCATTATTTTGCTTAAATTGTGCTTTCAATAACTTTTAATACTTTTTATTTAATAAAACTTAATAATGGATTAAAGCAGAACTTTGTTGTTAGACAAAATGTTTAAGTAGTTATCTTAAAAATACAAGTCTTTATTTTAAACCTTTTAAAAAGTTTATTTTAAAAAACCCATATTTCATATAACATACACATTATTCTCTTTTTAAAAAAAGAGGAATTACAAATTTTATATTTTTCTGCATATACCCTGCATATAACCCTGACCATAACCCTAACCCTGACTCTGCATATACATATATTATTTAAAAGCAGAATAATTATTATTTAAAATTTTTAATTTTTAACTTTAAGAGGTTCATAACAAAGCATCATGTTAATTTATGTTATCACATGTTTTGTTAACACAATGTATTTGGAAAGTTAATTGAAAATTGAGATAATTAAAAAAAAAAGTTTTTTGATTAAAATTTTCTATATTATATAAGACAGTAAACCTATAACTTGTAAAAAATTTTATATTAGAGTATATGAGTACTTATTTATATTAAAAAAATTTTAATAATTAGTAATCTTTAAACATTTACTTGCAAGTTTATCTAGCTTTGCTACATCCATTTCTTTCTGTAAAACCGATTGTAACACAACAGTTTGATATGCATTTCTTACCAATAAATTTATCAAAAATGTATGTGCTTTTTTCTCAATTTTATCTTCATCAATCATGAATAAATAATTGTCTCCAATGTTTAAAAAAGCTCCATGTTTTGTACAATTTACATCAACAAAACTCAATTTTAACATTCTCACTGGATCAAAAAATATGTCTCGAGTCATCTTTCTGCAAAATATAAAGATAAAACTCTATTAAAGAATATAATTTAAAAACATGCATAACAGTAAAAATCATTAAAGCTAAGTATATATATAAATAGATTTACATTGGATATTAAAATTCAAATAACCCTGTACTGAATAAAAATACTGAATAAAAATATTTTAAACGTTTAAACTATAAATTAATAATTAAAAATTATTCATAAATTAATAAAAAAATTACTACAACACAAGAAGAGTGAACAACATCATAAAATAAAATTGATTATTTTTCGTTTTTCTAGTTATTTAAAATGTGGTTATTCCTGATCTGTAGTTAAAAAAACATTTTCACCTAATTTTGGGATTCCATTGAGTTGGTCAATTTTGCTTAAATTCTTTTTACATAAAAAGTATTAAGTAATATTATAAAATAAAACTAAATCTATATATGTGAGATATCTTCCTTTAGGGGCCATCCATATACTACATACGCACCAAAAAGGAGAAGGTGGTCCAAGTTGAGTAATTTGCATACAAGTCATGGCGATACTTATTACAGGCCTTCCCGTCACGAATCCGTATTTTTGACTAGCGGCAGACAAAGTTACAAAAAATATAAAAAGTGGCTAGAAAAGTTTGCAAACTAGTCCATTATGTTTAGTTTACTAAATTTTAAAAGTACTGTATTAATGCAAAAAATGTCTATTGCAGTGTTTATTAAGAATCATCAAATTTAAAAAAAACATTTTAAAAAAAAGAATAAAATATTTATCAGAATAATGAGTTGTAATTATTTAAAATCTAAATCACAAAAAAATTAACAAACTTTAAAATAATGCAAAGCAAAAAAAAGAAAAAACATCATAATATACATCAAGTAAAAAGAAAAAAATATTAAAAAATACATCAATGTTATAAAAAAATGTACATAATAATTTTTTAATGTTATACAGATAACTTTAAAACCTTCAATGCAGGTTCCTTATTGGACTTGGGTGAAAAAAGCAAAAAATAATTTTTAAGAAATATGTTTGATGATATTTCTTAAAATTGATATATAAGTTATAAATATCAGATATTCACAATTTAATGTACGCGTTTTGCAATTTAGGTTACGCAAAAACTTTTTTCAATTAGTTTTTTTTAAAACAGATTATGTGGAAAACATTAAGCTGTAACTAATTGTTGTAGTTAGTAACATAATAACATCTTAAAACCGAAAATACTATTTTACTTTTTGGATTTAGTAAGAAATAATAAAAAATACATCAGGTTTCACGGTACATAAAAATAAAATAATTTAATGGAAATAAAAAAAAAAAAGAAGCAGAAAAGGGGTAATCTTTGTTTAATTACAATTCATATTTTATCAAAAACCAGCTACTAAAATCCTTTAGGTAGCGCCAACGTTTTTTATAAAGGGGAAACCCCTATCTAATTGGGCAGTTTTGTAGTACATGTAAATCCCTTTAAGAAAACCAACCATAATAGTGTCCCCTCATTAAAAAATAAATACCGGTTTTTATATCTATTTAAGACAACCATGGCATTCATTTAAAACACCACAACAATCAATTAAAATAATGTGATTTTCAATTTAAACAATAGTGATTTTCAATTAAAACATTTAACGCATGCGCAATCTCAACATTCTATATTATTTAAAAAAAAAAAAAGGTTTTCTTTATATATTTTTATTTTTTCTATTCGATTTTTTAAAATTATTCAAAACTTTATTTTATTTAAAATATGTTTATTTTTTACTGTCGAGGTATGTTGTCTGAACTAAGACACGCTTCGAAAAAGCTTTCGCAGCATGTATTATAGTTGGATAAGTTAACATTAGGAATAAAAAAGCACGCCTCACGCATTCTCGAAATTAGTTCATTTCTTCTAACTGGGGAAGTATTTCTTTGCAAGTTATTCTAAAGATAAAAAAAAATCCATTTACACGGATTCAAGAATGGTGAGTATGGTGGCAAATATTTTATTTGAATGTTCTGAGCCCTCATCTCAACATTATGATGAATTCTGACATTATCCATCACCAGGGTGAATTCTTCCTCTGTCCGCAAAACTTATACAACTTCATCAATATATTCCTGAAACAAAACTGTATTGACTGACACACTGACAGCTTCGCAGTGATTATTTAAACCATAAACTGCCAATATCATCGAAACATTACGTTGCGAATGATCGGGTTAGGTATTTTTTTTCTTCTTGCCCATGAATAACTGCAAAACATGTGTAAATTAAATGGACTTTCATCAATAATAACAATATTTTGATACCGATTAATAGGCAAGATTGAAGTATACCACTTAACATATTCAATATGAAGATTTTCTACATCATTGTCTTTCTTCTTTCATAAATTGGTCGAGTAAATTTATATGTGTATCCAAGATTGGTCACCAATTTCTTTACACTTTTAATCGATACATTTACATTTAAAGCGTATTTAATTTCAATTATAGTTGTTGTTGTATTATCATTTACAAGCTCTTTAATTCTTCTTCTAATCTCTTCATTATAAATAACGTGATGAGCGCCACCTCTAGAACCAGGAAGTGGTGAATTTGTTTGATCGTTATTTCTTAAAATTGATTGTATTGTGTTTTGATTAACTCCTGTTAACGATGAAGCTTCAGATTCAGTTTTTCTTTGATCAATAACTAGATTTACAACAAGATCTCAAATGTTTTGGGAAACAGAATTTTGCGGCATGAAGATTCAGATTGAGCTTTTTGCGGCAATGAAGTTTCAGATTGAATTTTTCTTTGATCAACGACCAATCTCAAAGCAAATTTTCACTTATTTTGGCAAACAGAATTTTGCTGCATATTTTAATGAAAATCTAATATCCTCATGTGCTAAATGTTTAATAGGAAATCATGGTGGTTTTAATTATCATCATGCGTGTTTTAATTAAACATCATGGTTGTTTTGCCAATACAGCATGTGTATAAAAAATATGTAAAAAAAAATGGTTTTGCATCCATTTAAAAAAAACATGACCTCCATTTAAATTTAAAATAAATTCCATTACATTAAAATAAATTAATATAACATTAATAAAAATAAATTTATACAACATTAGATAAATAAATATATAAAAACCTTTTTTTAAAAAATATAGAATGTTAAGATTGCCCATGCATTAAATGTTTTAGATGAAAATCACGATTGTTTTAATTGAAAATGACATTTTTTTAATTGATTGTCGCTGTATTTTAAATGAATGTCATGGTTGTTTTAAGTGGTTGTCATGATTGTTTTAAAGGGACTACCAAGTCCCAAGACATGTTGTGTTCATATTAAAGAGAATGTTAAAAAAAAAGGTCTAAGCAATTTTTTTTTTATTAAAACTAATTAATAAATGTATACCAAGAAAAACAAATCTTGTTGTTTTAGTCGAAGCTCGTCTTCTCTGTTTTCTCTGGTATTTTGAGTATGTAAAATAAACGTGATTTTCCAGGCGCATTATACAGACTTGATAATTTATTCAAGCGCTTCGACTAAAACAACAAGATTTGTTTTTCATAGTATACATTTATTAATTAGTTTTAATAAAAAAAAATTTGCTCAGACCTTTTTTTTTTAACATTCTCTTTAATATGAACACAACATGTCTTGGGACTTGGTAGTCCCTTTTAACGGATGTAAAATCCGGTATTTAAAAAATAAAAGAAAAAAACCATAAAACAAATGTTTAAAGAAAAAAAAATTAAGTTTAATTAAGTATAAGATTTTAAAATGATGGAGTTTTTTTTATAATTAACATTTAAACTTTGTTTAAAATTTTTTTTATAACAATATTGTTTAATTTAATTTTCATTTCAAAGACTTACAAAAATTTTTAATGTGGTTTTAATTTTAATTACAATGAGGTATTTTAAAATACGCAACTGATGTATTTAAACTTTTAACGATGTAAAAAAAATCTTTATTGAATAAAGTTACATAAATTCGCATTAGGCTTTTTCGTTACACAACATAACAAGGTCTGTATTCTGTTCATTTTTGTTAACAATTTATGCCTAATGTGTGTTTTTATTATGTCTCATATAAGGCTATATGGGTTTATATTTTGTAAGTGTTTCTTTGTGTGTGTTGTTAGTAGTTAAAATATGGACAATAAAATCTGAATAACTCTATAACCCTTAACTTAAACTAATTTGAAAATTTCATTTGAGCCTTTATTTTTGGATTATACTGCCAATAACTTAAGCATTCTCTAACAAGCTATATTCTTGGTCCTCATTAAGGATTAAATAATTAAGAGTTTACTGTAATATGTTGTTATTTGTTAATTTTGTGATGTTATTGTTGTGTTGTTTTGTATTAATAAATTAGATGACTTGAAATATGAAAAAATTTCAAATTTAACAAAAAAAATTTATTTTATAATGTTTAAATTTTTTTATATTTATTGTTTATGTGATGTTTATTTAGAAAATATAAGGTTGTAAAAAAAAAAAAAAAACATTTAACCGAAACTGTAAATTTTTAAATAAGTAAATTATTTTTAAAATTTTTTAATTTTCTTTATTAAGACTTAAATTTTAACATTGAAACTTAGTTTTAAAGGAATGCAAAAATTGGTATAGCCATATGTAAAGTAGCTTATTAAATACATGAATTGCATGAACTTCTGGTCACAGGTATGATTTTTATCAAACTTGTGATTAGAGAAACCATATTTAAATTATCTGAGTATAATCTATATTTAAGGATATCAAGATTATTCATATTGTTCTAAGTTGTTCTAAGTATTGTTCTAACATTCCTGTCACAGTCTTGCAGAATTGTTCTCCAGAACTTTTTTCAATTCTCTCTAAACTATTTAACAAGTGTTTGACTGAGTCTTGTTTTCCTGGTTGTTGGAAAATGGCATCTGTGGTTCCAATATTCAAAAACTCTGGAGAAAATTCTGACCCCTCCAATTATCGTCCGATCAGTCTTCTTTCTGTTATTAGCAAATTCTTTGAGTCTTTGATCAACAAATTTCTCACATCTCATCTTGAGTCAAATAAACTACTATCAGACAATCAATACGGTTTTCGATCCTCTTGCTCAATGGCCGACTTGCTAACTGCTGTAACTGAAAGATTTTATTGTGCATTAGATGGAGGCGGTGAGGCTAGGGCTATTGATCTCAACATATCTAAAGCTTTTGACAAAGTTTGGCATGCTGGTCTTCTCCATAAGCTTGCTTCATATGGTGTTTCTGGGAAAGTTTTTGAGATTATCAAATCATTTCTTTCTAACCGGTTTATTAAAGTCATCCTTGAGGGCCAACACTCTTCTTTATTTCCAGTAACTTCTGGGGTTCCCCAAGGTTCCATCCTGGACCCTGTTTTGTTTCTTATCTACATAAACGATCTTCCTGACAACCTTTCATCTAAAGTAGCTCTTTTTGCTGATGACTCAACTTTATACTCCTGTCTTGACAAAAAGTCTTCTCTTTTCGATCGCCTAGAACAAGCAGCTGATCTTGAATTCGATCTCACTTCAGTAATAGATTGGGGTTGACAGTGGCTTGCGAATTTCAACTCTAAAAAAACCCAGCTGCTTACTGCAAACAACTACCGTAATATGGTCAACATTCTTATATTAATGAATGGCAATCCTCTTACTGAGTCGTCCTCTTTACGTCTTCTTGGATTATCGCTTACTACTGACCTTTCATGGAAACCATATATACAATCGATAGCTAAATTAGCTTCTGCTAAGGTTGCTTCTCTTTATCGTGCTCGTCATTTTCTTACTTCTGATTCCATTCTCTACCTCTACAAATCTCTTATTTGTCCCTGTATGGAATACTGTTGTCATATTTGGGCTGGTTCTTCTAACGATTCACTTTCTCTTCTTGACAAGGTCCAAAAACGCATTGTAAATGTTGTTGGACCTGGACTATCTGCTAAGCTTGAACCTTTTTCCCATCGTCGTAAAGTTGCATCTCTTTCTCTTTTCTACAAATACTATCATGGTCACTGCTCAAAGGAGTTATCATCTCTAGTTCCATCAACTAAAATTCATTCTCGTTTTACTCGTCATTTAGCTAAGTCTCATTCGTTTACTGTATCTGTCCCTGCATGCTCTAAAAACTTTTATTCATCTAGTTTTTTTTCCCCGCACTTCAATCCTTTGGAACTCTCTCCCATCTTCATGTTTTCCTCATACAATCTTCAACTTTTCAAGTCTTCTGTCAACCGTTTCCTTGCTCTATAACTCTGTTCTTTTTTTTTCCTAGTAACTCCCAACTTGATAGTGGTTGCTTGCAGCCTTGGTGGGAGTGAATGCAAATAAAAAAAAAAAAAAAAAAAAAGTGCCACAACACCTTGAACAATAATAAAATGAGTTACTTGCTCCAGATAATATAGTTTAAACCTTCCCATCAATCATTGTTACTTCTATTATACAATTTATCTTAATAGGAGCTTCACAAACATGCAATAAAACCATACCAAAACTTTGTCATTTTTAATATATTGATATTCTTGAGCAAAGGCAAAAAAAATCTTGTTGCTATGCAGAGTAGTGTATCCATAGCAACTAAATAAATTTATTGCCTTTAAAAGAAATGGGAATCATTTTAATACACACACCTAACATTGTGTAAAGAGTCACCATAACTTAGGAATTTTATAGAAATGAAAAATCAATAAATTTCACTAGTATATAGAAACTTCTCTATGTATATAGAAATTATGTATATATAATCTATGTATATAAAAATTAAATTAAATAAGTTATAGAGATTAGACAACTAAAATTTTTCAAATTTTGTCCACCTACTGGACCACTGCGGGTGGTTTCAAAAAATATCCATACACCTGTCACCTGGAATTTATTGTAGTAATATCGATTTGATACTTAAATTTTTAAAAAAATATTTATAATTTTAATATTTAGCTGAACATCCTTAGATAAGTTAAAAGAGGAGTGTATCAAGTAAGTCTTGGATAAAGAAAGTACTGGGCATATTTTGGATGTTACTTTAATGTACTTCTTTTGTAAAGCCAAAAAAAAGGACTTTAAAGAAAATGTAACTTGGGTTGTAGAACAGTTCTTCACCTTAAGATTTCATCATTTTTTCCTGTTCAAATATAACAAAATATTTTAATGCAATATAAAATACAATAGTAATTTGTCACAAGATTATGCAGCACAATAAAAAGCATAAAGCATTTTTAGATATTTGTATTGTTAAAATGTTAACTACATATTTTAATTTAATTTAATTAAAATATTATTCAAACAATTTTGTGATAACATAATTTAAAAAGGAATTTATTTTATTAAAAATTATTATGTTTTTTTTAAAACTAAATGATAAAAAAATACAAATATTTGCAGCAGTAACTAAGCCACTTTGTATGTACACTGATTTAAAAAAGTCAACAGCATTTGAAATAAATATTTAAATATTGATGTTTCATAAGAAAGAGATTCATTATACAACTTTGTGTAAAAAACTGACAAAAAAATTGATATTTTTATTTGTTATAATAATGGCAAAATTGCGCCTGCAATTCGACCAAGTTTTGCACAAGCGCAATTGATTCTAAAATGATGCTTGAAAAATTTGAGTATTAAAATAACATAAAACTTACATTGTCTTTTCTGGAACACATAATTGACCTAAAATGATATAATTCATCAAGCATTTAGTTATTCTTTATGTTTACTTAAAATAAACTTGACAATTTTAAACATTTTTTAAATAAACTAAATTGATTTAAACTAGCTTAAGCATGAACTTTTTAAATTATTATTTTAAAAAGATTAAGATGGAGTAAATACTAAAAAAGGATACATTAAAAAAATAATAATAATAATAATACTTTGAAAAAAAAATAAAAAAATAGCTGTCAATGTTAAAAAAAAAAAAAACTTAAAAAGTTTGTAGCAATTTACATAACTTGTTAGTAAAGCATGGGGAATCCATAGAGTATGCAGACAGTTAAACCACTGGTTAAATAGCCCTCTATAAGCGTTTGTATGCTTTCAATGCCACCCCTTCCTCTGCATACAAAAGCCTTCCTAGGAAAGACATGTGGTTTTTTGTCTTGTATGACCACGCAATAGTATTTCATTTTAGACAGCTTGATCACAGCCATTTGCAAGTTTTATAACTAATCATGGCGGTAAAAGTTTTAAAAACAAAAAAAGCAAAACTAAAAAAATAGGAAATAAAAAGAAATTTAAATAGAAAAAAATAATAATAATAATTTAAATAATTTATCTACTGTTTTTATTTTTGTTTCTTTAGAGTGGTTGTTACATTTAGCAACAAAATTAGATAAGGCAAAGTAAAAAAAAAGTTTTAAGTCTTCAATAAAAAGAATGATTTTCCTTTATTGAACTTTTTTTAAAGAGGAAAGCAAAAATATAAATTGCAATGTATTTGTAAAATGTATATAACAACAAGATTTATATAACAACAAGTTTATATAACAACAAGAGTTAAATTAAGTGATCACGAAATTAAAAATCTGAAAAAACATCTGTTCTTCAAAATTTTAGTTTATACAAAAACATGTTATTTGTTTTTAAGGCGAATCAACAAAGCGACAAAGTTATAAAAATAAAACAATAGCGACAAAGTTAAAAAAAATAAAACAATAAACTTATGAATACTTAAGTAATAACACTCAAGTGACTAACTGCATTTAAAAAGTAATAACACTATAATAGTGTTATTACTTTTATAAAGCACTTATAACTTTTATAATTCATTCTTTATTCAAATAAGTTAAGTTCTTGCAAATTTTAACTGAAGTAAAAAAGCATCTAGAAAAAACTAGTGGATATCCAAATAATATTTAAAACTAAAGTAACTTATAAAAACTTAAACATAACTTTATCAAAACAAAATGTATAAAAAATTTTTATTCGTTGATTTTAAAATTAAACGCGCCTTTATACGGAATATTAGTGACGTTTTTCATAATGCTTAACTTTTTATTAAGTGCGTTTTTATAAAGTTGTTTAAGTGATTTGTAAAAATTCCTCAAGCTTTTAATATTTGAATATTCGCTTTATTTTTTCTAAATGCTTTTCTACTTTAATTATTGTTTGGAATTACTAATGTTGTTTGAAAAAAGAATTAACTTCAAAATTAATAAGTGCTTTATAAAAGTAATAAAATATTATAGTTTTATTATTTTTATAATGCAGTTAGTGACGAAAGTATTATTAATTTGAAGATGTTATTAAAGTGTTATTAAAGTGTTATTGGAGTCGTAAGTTTATTGTTTGTTTGTTTTATATATTTTTCTCGCTAACAAAATTATAATAATTTGCTCCTTAAAAATAAAGTACACAGCTTTGCATAAACTAAAATTTTGAAGAACAGATATTTTTCCAAGGTTGGCAAATCGCTATCGCTTGATTCACTCCTTGATATATACTTGATACATTAAAATTATACAAACATATTTTACAAACAGATTACAATTTATATTTTCACTTTCCCCGTTAAAAAAAAAACAATATATAGGAAAATCATTCTTTTCAATGTTTAAAACTTTTTTTTTTTTGCTTTGACTTACCAAATTTTGTTGCTGAAAATAATAACCACTATGAAAAAACAAAAACAGTACATAAACTATTTAAATTATTGTTATTATTATTTTCTTTTTAAGTTTATTTTAAATCCATATTTTGTTATTTTGTATTAAAATTTTTTGCCAGCAATACATATAATAAAATCTGCAAACGGCCGTGACCAAGTTGTCTAAAATAAAATACTAACGCGTGGTCATACAAGACGAAAAACCTCACGCCTTTCCTTGGAAGGCTTGATACATGTGCACTATCTATAACAAATTCAACCCTTTAATATTTCCCAAAGCATAAATCTTTTAAAATATCAAAAACAAAAAAACATTTACCTAAATCAAAACTTCTCAGCTACATCACACTTTATAGATTTTATTCATTTGTAAAATTTGATGTTTTTGTTAAAACAAAAATGAGAACAAGTTTTAGGAGTGTAAGAAAATGAGAGTTGGCAGACCTGCATTCATACTTGCTGTGCTTAACATTACCCACCACCCCTTGTATACATTTTAATATTTTTAGAAAGCCTTCCTGCCCTAAAACCTGTATACATTAAAGTCTTTATTTATATAGAGGTCTGTGAAAGACCCCGAAACGTAATATTAACCTAATTAAGGTATATATTTAATTATAAATATGTATAATTAGATGAATATAACAGAATAATATAAATATATATAATTAGATGAAGCAGGCTTGGCCAGGAAGGCGTGTGATTTCAAGTCTTTATATGACCATGCAAATAAAATTTTGCTATGATAATTTAACCACGGCTTTTAACAAAAGCGCTAAAAAAAAAGTTTTTTAATTACGTTAAAAATAAATAAACTTGACGTGTTTATTTTTACTAATATTTTTATATTAGCAAAACGCTTTTAAATAAAGATTTTAATTATCATTGAAAGTTGTATATTTCTTTATTTATATTGTTTAATTATATAAGATTTTTTTATAAGTAAAAATAAGAAAAATTAAAGTTATTAAAAATTTTTTTTTGAATTTTTGACTTTAATAAGCTAAGGTCTCTAATAAACTTCATACAAGAATCATTTAAGTTTTTTTTGAGAAGAAAAAAAAAACTTTTTTGAAAGCCGTTTGAATTAACTAACTTTGATCTTTACTTACGCTTTTATTTCATTGAAGTTAAATAAAGTAACAAGTCACTGCTAATAATTTTTTATAAAAACATATATTTTTTTAAAAGTATTTATTTTTTATTATGAATGTTTTTAAATTTAAAAAAATTAAATAAAAATTTTAAATAAAAGATTTAATTATTTTTTCTTTAGTTGAAGAATTAAGAATCTTTTTTTAAACTTTTAAATGTGCGTGTTTATTAAACAATCGTCAGTAGTTAGTTGTTACTTTATTTAAAAAGCGTCTTACATAACTCGCATAATTATATTAAAAAGGCATCATTAAAGATACACAGTTTAAAGTTATTTATTCTAATCGTAATTTAGATAATCTTATCGTCATAGTTTATTATTTAATTGAGTTAATTTTTAATTTTATTTCTGCTGTTTTAGTTAAGTTATTTTTTTTTTGTTTTTTTACCAAGATTTATTTGCTTTTTTTAATATAAATTTTTTTATAGTTGAGATAATTTCTTTACCATGTTTTTAAAACATATACAATTTTTCAAAACATATTAACAGCCATGGTCAAGATAAGTAAAATCATATAGTATTTGCGTGGTCATATTATGACATGAAATCGCACGCCTTCCTGGCCAAGCTTGATGAAGGTAAGGTTCACCAAATTATTCAAAAATTGTTTTTGTATTTTATGATTATTATCCATACAATTGTGTTATTCAAAGATTATATAAGTGTTAAGAGATTGTAAGCTGTTTCATTGACTTTTTTAATTATTTATACTAACAGGCCCACTAGAGAAAACACTAAGTTACATACATCAAAATTAGTTTTAAACTTTATTTTTTTATTTGAGGTTTATGCTTAGGCTTTCACAGGAAGGCGTGCAATTGCACGTCATTATGCAAAAAATATCATGTTTTAAAAATTTGAGCACAGCTTTTGAAAAAATTTAAAAATGCGCTATAAAAACTTACCTTACTTATCTAAAAAAAATTGTAAAAAGAAAAAAAATCTTAAAGAGACTACTAAGCCCCAAGACATATTTAATAAATAAATAGCAAAAAAAAAAAACATTGTTGTTTTAGTCGAAGCTTGTCTTCTCCATTTTCTGCGGTATTTTGAGTATGTAAAATAAACGCGATTTTCCAGGCGCATTATACAGACTTGATAATTTATTCAAGCGCATTTAATTCATAGGAGTTTTAGCGCATGGCGTCATTGGAAACATTCAAGAAATTCATTAAAAATTTTACTAATAAATTTTTATTAAAAGAGCTAACTAAAGTTAATTATTTTATTAAAAGCTTATTTTATTAATTGTTCGTTAGTTTTTTACTCTTAATTCATAGAAGTTTTAGTACATGACATCATTGGAAACATTCTAGAAACTCTTTAGAAATTTTACTATTAAATTTTACTAAAATAGCTAACTATAGTTATTTTATTTTCTAAAATCTTCACATTGAAAAAAACTTTGTTTTTTTGTAGTTATCAGAGCCGTGACTACATGGGTCATGGCGATGGTGGACTTAGGGACCCATATGGCACCAAATCAAGTTATATAATATCTTCGATGATTCATAAGTGTGTTCTTTACATTTTGATACAAGTTATTTTGACAAATCTAATGAACAAATAATTAAACCAAGCACTAAGAAAAGATATAAAAATTAACAATATACTAATAAAGTATATAATTTGTAATTAACTTTCAAAATTTTGACAATTTAAAAAATATATAAAACATTTATTTTTGTGAACAAATGATAATAGTTTAAAAGATTTACGGCTTTACAGATGTGGCTCCGAGAATGAGCCATAATATTAAAGTAATAGTTCATTTGATAATATATTCTAAAAAACTTTATGCAAGATATCTCAAAACGCAACAAATTGTAAATAAAGCAATTCTTAAAACATTTCAACAAAATACTCTGAACTTTATTTCGCTTAGTCAGAGTATTTTTTGAACCAATAGAATTAGTTTGGTCGCAACTTTGGCGAGTTTTTAGTGTTCGCAAATATTCTTTTTATTTTTCCGCAAGATATTTTAAGAACATTTAAGTTAATTATGTTTCCATGTATGTCTGTAAAATAAAAATTGATATATTAATTTTTTAATTTTTAAGCCCCCGCCATAATATATATTGGATGTTATTATAATGGAAATATAAATAATGAAATAAGATCACCTTAATACCAAAAAATACAATTTTGAAATTCAGAGAAAAAATGCGTTAACCTAAATATTAATGCACTTTTATTAATTTACTTTGTAAATATTTAAAAAAATAATTTTTTTAAATATTTACAAAGTAAATTAATAAAAGTGCATTAATATTTAGGTTAAAAATTATTTTATCTAATATTTTGAAAGAAAAACTTGCAACAAAAGAAATTAAAATACACGTGGTCTAGATGATTATTTTTAACAAGTTGCGCAAATAAAATACTATTACGTTTATTATTTTATTTTTGTTTTTAGTTTTATTTTGTTTTTAATTTTGTTTTACAAACACATTTTAGAACTTTAAAATATAATAAAAATGAATATGATTTGGAAATTGTATGTAAAAAATAACAATCGGTGTTTTACACAAATTAAAAAAAATCTATGACGTCATGCACTAAAACTTCTATGAATTAAACGCACTTAAATAAATTATCAAGTCTGTATTATGCGCCTGGAAAATGTTGTTTATTTTACATACTCAAAATACCGCAGAAAATGGAGAAGGGGAGCTTCGACTAAAACAACAAGATTTTTTTTTCTTGATATACATTTATTAATTAATTTTAATCAAAAAAAATTTGCTCAGACATTTTTTTTTTAACATTCTCTTTAATATGAACACAACATGTCTGTGGACTTGGTAGTCCCTTTAATGAAAAAGAAAATAAAAAAAATACTTAGTTAAAGCAAAAACTCAAAAAAATAAATATACATATAACCCAACTAAAACAAAACTCATCAAACTAAAATGCTTAGTCTATTTAATTTATGCATCAAAAAACCATTTCAATCTTTGTTTTAACATTTGTACTTTTTTTTTTTTTTTATATGTTTTAAAAGATAAACATTTCTCATAAAAAATACATAACTATATAAATAAAAAAAAACAGTTTAATAATACTTATTTTAAAAATTAGAAGTGTTTTGTTACTTCATTGAAAAACGTTTCGATAATTTAAAAGCATAAAGACCAAACCTATTTGATTGAAACGGCTTTTTAAAACTTGTTTTTTTTTTCAACGAAATTTTGTTTATCTTTTTAAATGTATAAACATTAATTATTCTTATATCAAACATCGTTAAAGAGAATGAAAGTCTCTTTAACGAATGTCATCATTTATAAAATTAAAACAATTTTTTAATAACATTAATTATAAAAATGCGCACTTAAACAATTTATATACTATAAATTTAAAAAAATATATACAACTGTCAAGTATATATTAAAAAAAAAAAATTATCAATAAATTGTTACTTTTTTGATAGGCGTATCGCTAATACAAAAACATTTGTTAAGAAGTTTTGAGTTAAATAATTTCTCTTTTTTAGAATATTTTTTATTTAGCACAATTTTAAAACATTTTTTTAATTAGCCACGATCAAATCATCATAGCAAAATGTAATTTGCCTGTTCATATAAAGACGTGCAATCGCATGCCTTCTGTGAAAGCCTGATGCTCTACTTTATTTTAATTTTTTTAAATATCATCTTTTTATTTAGACAAATTTATGAAACACATAAGTGAAATTTATTTAAATGAATATTTTTCTATAACTATATAGTTTTTGGTTAAATCAAGTCATTTGTTAAATCAAGTTAAATTAAAACTTTTTTAGAAAAATTTTTAAAATGAAATGTAAAAGAGGATAGAAAGAATAAACATAAAAGGATATCTAAAAATTAAATTGAAACTTTTATTTCTGTAAGAAACTTGTTGTGTGCTTAATTTGTTTATTTATTATTGAATAATAATAAAAAAAAATATATTGTGGTACTAACTTTTCTCAATGTTTTTTTAAAAAATTCATTAAAAAATGTTTTTTAAAATATTCATTTAAATTAATTAAATTTTATTCTATTCAGATGATGTGAGTATATATTATATTAAGTAAACTTTAAATGTTAACAATGATAAAACTTACCAGATAATAATAATGAGAAAACTTACCAGAAACATTATTAGCCAAATCACTACTGTTAATATCTCTACGAACTTTTTTTCTAGGTTTTTTTCTAAAATCATGCTGCTTTGATGTTTTCCTATCAACAATACATCTTGTCTTTTTAGGAACACCATGTTTAATTTTTTTTTTCAAATGAAGTGTATTTAACCTTCTGTCTCCATTAGGAGAATATTTTACATTTTTAGTGAAAACGTTTCCAAAGCTACTTTTATTCATTTTTCTAACTAAAGTCTTAACTTGCTAAATATAAAAAAAGGCATGGCTAAAGTGTGTACGCTTTAAAACAACTAAATTAGGACCCTACCTTTCTTATAACAACCCTTTTCCCTTTGCGTAGGTATGCATTATCTATAACAAAACATTGTTATTTAGCACTCGAAATTAGGTCAGCATTCGGCAATGCCAACTTAAAAGTGTTTGTGGTCAGTATAAAATTACTTTGTTTCAATTATTTTTGTGGACCTGATGCTGACCCCTAACAGTTTGAGGATGGTAATTTATTGCCAACCTTATTTTTCCTCAATTCGAGGGTTGGTTATCTGAATTAAAAAATATGAATATCCGAGAAATACATATATAAGACAGGGGCCATTGAAAAAATTATACACTCAGCACACATGAACTATAGCTAAATTTTTAATTCACTAAATATTTAAAACCACTAACTTGCTTAAAAAATAAAAAACACAATCTCTAGCAATAAAGCTTAGTCTGTAAAAACAAACCTAGAAAAACATTATTTAGATAAAAGTAGCCAAAACTTTAAATAAATTAGACATTTAGAGTTAGCCACAAAAAAAATTATATGTGTATAAAAATTATGGGTTAAAGTTTTAACAAATACATTTTTAGACATCTTTAGTAATAACAACATCGTAACAAAGTTTTAAAATTTTGTTTTCAGATATAGATTAAAGGGTGGAACTTTAAACTCAACACTTTATTTTATAGCAAAATAACCAGTTCAATAATTTTGTTTGCTGTCAACTTTTTGAGTTGTCTGCCCCAAATTTTTATTTGTAGTCATTAAAGTCCTATAATGAAAAATGACATTTTTCATTTTAGGACTAAGTGTAGATTAGAAATTATTTGTCTAAATAAAAGTAAGATTGTAAACTATTCATAACATTGACATTTCAGGCTTTCACAGGATGGCGTGCGATTTCATGTCTTTATATAACCACGCAAGTTACATTCTGCTATGACGTTTGACCGCGGCTAATTCAAAAAACATTTTAAAAACGCGCTAAATAAAAAATATTCTATAAAAGTGAAATTAATTACATTAAAACTTTTAAAAAAATGTTTTTATATTAGCAAAACGCTTTTAAATAAAGTAAATATTTACTGATAATGGTTTTTTTTTAAATATATAAATAACAGTTTTTTTTAAAACTAATTAATAAATGTATACCAAAAAAAAACAAATCTTGTTGTTTTAGTCAAAGCTTGTATTCTCCATTTTTTGCGGTATTTGGAGTCTGTAAAATAAACCTGATTTTCCAGCCGCATTATACAGACTTGATAATTTATTGAAGTGCATTTAGTTCATAAAAGTTTTAGTACATGACATCATTGGAAACATTCTAGAAACTCTTTAGAAATTTTACTATTAAATTTTACTAAAATAGCTAACTAGAGTTAGTTATTTTATTTTCTAAAATCTTCACATTGAAAAAAACTTTGTTTTTTTGTAGTTATCAGAGCCGTGACTACATGGGTCATAGCGATGAAGGACTTAGGGACCCATATGGCGCCAAATCAAGTTATATAATATCTCTGATGATTCATAAGCGTGTTCTTTACATTTTGATACAAGTTATTTTGACAAATCTAACGAACAACTAATTAAACCAAGCACTAGGAAAAGATATAAAAAATAAGACTATACTAATAAAATATATAATTTGTAATTAACTTTCAAAATTTTGACAATTCAAAAAATATATATTATAAAACATTAATTTTTATTTACAGCTTTGCAGATGTGGCTCTGAGAATGAGCAATAATATTAAAGTAATAATTCAATTTATAATATATTCTTAAAAAAATTTATGTTAGATATCTCAAAACGCAACAAACTGTAAATAATACAATTCTTAAAACATTTCAACAGAATACTATGAACTTTATTTCACTTAGTCAGCGTATTTTTTGAACCAATAGAATTTGTTTGTTCATAAAATTAGCGGGTTTTTAGTGTTCACGAATATTCTTCTTGATCTTGCGCAAGATGTTTTAAGAACATTCAAGTTAATTATTTTCCATGTATGTCGGTAAAATAAAAATTAATATATATATATCAATTTTTTAATTTGTAAGCCCCCGCCATAATACATATTGGATGTTATAATAATGGAAATATAAATAATGAAATAAGATCACCTCAATACCAAAAAATACATTTTTGAAAATCAGAGAAAAAATGCATTAATAATTTTTTTTTTTTTAATATTTACAAAGTAAATTAATAAAAGAGCAGGTTAAAAATTATTTTATCTAATATTTTGAAAGAAAAACTTATAACAAAAGAAATCAAAATGCATATGGTCAAGATGATTATTTTAAAAAATTTGCGCAAATAAAATACTATTTTGATTTTTAATTTTTTTACAAACACATTTTAGAACATTCAAATATAGTAACAATGAATATGATTTGGAAATTGCATGTAAAAAATAATATTCAGTGTTTTAAACAAACAAACAAAAAAATATATGACGTCATGTACTAAAACTTCTATGAATTAAATGCACTTGAATAAATTATCAAGTCTGTATAATGCGCCTGGAAAATCGTGTTTATTTTACAGACTCCAAATACCACAGAAAATGAAGAAGACAAGCTTTGACTAAAACAACAAGATTTGTTTTTCTTGGTATACATTTATTATTAAGTTTTAATAAAAAAAAATTGCCTCAGACGTTTTTTTTACATTCTCTTTAATATGAACACAACATGTCTCAGGACTTGGTAGTCCCTTTAAGTTTTTTTTTTTTTCAGATAAGTTTATGTAAGTTTTTGTAGAGCGTATTTAAATTTTGAAAATATGCAGTGGTTAAAACATATTATTTTTTGTGCAGTCATATAAAGACTTCAAATCGCATGCCTTTCTGTGAAAGCCTGCATTTCTACTTTCAGATAAAGCACATGCTAAAATATAAACCATAAGGTTTTTCACTTGAATTAAGCACTTATTTTATCAAAAAAACATGCACTCTTTTTTACAACAACAAAGTATTGACTTGAATAAAAAAACAATTCAGAAACACTTAAAAAAAATAATAAAATAATAAAATAATAAAATCCTTTGCTTTTAAAGTGTTGTAATAATCAACCTTCCGAATTAGAAAAATTGAGGTTGGCTATAGTTTGCTGACCTCAATCTTTTAAAGGTCGGCATCAGGTCAGCATATACCATAAAACACTGAAACAAGGTCGGCAAAACCAAATTTTTTTTTGATGACCGCAAGCACGTTTAGGTCAGCAGTTAGGTCAGCATTGCCGAATGCCTACCCTAATTCCGAGGGTTGATTAATTTAGATCTAATATGTTACAGGAGATTTAAAACTATTGATGTTTTGAAAGTACTTTAAAGTATTGCGTTGTTAGTAAACTAAATTTTAAATCGGGCTAGAAATTATTCAGACTACTTAAAAAAAATTAATTATTTATTGTAAAATAGGTATTTCAAAAGGATTGTATTTCCTTATAATTTATTTCTTATACTTAACATAATTTTTGATCTTATACTTAACATAATTTTTGTTTGTTTGATGTCTAGTATACATACAGTTTTACTGTAGGCCAAGTCAGCATAACTTTGCGCTGCAATCTTTAGACTCATTAATTTATTCAAACGTGTTTTATTCATAAGAGTTTAAGTAAATGAAGCCATTGATTTTTTTGTTTGTGTAAAAGATCAATTATGGAAAATGAGGTCATATAGGTAAACTATTAAGAATAAAATGCACTTGAATAAATTATCAAGTCTGTAGATTGTGGCGTATTCTATGTTGATATTTTGGTCTGCAACAAAATGGAAATAACAAGCTTTACCTAAAATAAAAAAGTTAGTTTTTCTTGGTTTGCACTTATTCTTTTGTTTAATCAAAAAAAAATTTAGCCCAAACATTTTTTTAATCATTCTCTTTAATATGAACACAAGATGTCTTAGAGGTTTGGGATCCCTTAAATGATCAAATTTTTTTATTTCAAATCTTAGCTCTTTCAATCGCATAATATATTGTTCCTGAAAAACTAAAATTTTCACAAGTCATGTTGATTTTTATAATAATTGAAATATCTTAAATTATTTACCTAAATACTAAATTATTTAAAAATTTAACCTGTTGTCTGTAAAATGCGAACTGCAAACCGCGAACTGGTAAAATGCGAACTTTTTTGCGAACCAAAACATTATATTTTAAAGACCATTATTGTTATGATGAAAACAATAATGAAAAAATTCTCCAATTCTTAATTATTTAATTTAAAGCTTTATTTAAAATAAAATTTTTATTTTTTAACATCGACTATCTTATAGCCTGACTCAAAACGGAGTGCTGCTACATCGACTATCTTATAGCCTGACTTGCACCGGAGTGCTGCTAAATCGACTGAGGGTTTGGTTTGGGCAGGCAGTCTATCAAATAAGTAGAAAAAAAATTTTTTTTTCTACTTATTTGATAGACTAGTACCGTTTTTACTTTATTAATTGGCTAAGAGAAAAATTATGGAATGATGCCAAATTGTGAATTTTCCAAAAAGAGTAAAATAATAATTGATTATTGCTAACTGCTTAAGTTAATAATATACATCAGTCTCTATATATAAATTCTATAACATAAATTAGTCACTATAATATAAATTAGTCTCTTTAATCAATTACCTGAAAATAAGTTGTATTTAAAACAGTTTAGTCAAATAAAAAAATTGCACTTGAAATGGTTGAACAAATTAATCAAATTTCAAGCGCATTTAATACTTAATATTTTATATTTGAAGTTATAATTTTAAGTCTTTTGATATCATCATTATATTATTGTAAAAAAATATAAATACTATGAAGTAAGAAACTACAACTTAAATTGGTTCAAAAGCAATTCAAAAAATTGAAAGCAATTTATATACAATATATATATATATATATATATATATATATATATATATATATATATATATATATATATATATATATTTGTATACAAAAACTAGTGGTGTTTCTTAGGGCTCTATAAAAGACTATAAATGATTCTAGTGCATTCAAGCGATTTAAATTTTCTGACAAACTTATTTAATATTTTCCTTAACACTCCAATCTTTTTATTGCCACAGAAATATTAAAATACATTTGAAAAATGCTGACAAATAAGTTATTTAAGTGGTTTATAAGTAACAAATGAGGATAAAAACAAATTTATTTTATTTTATAAAGTAAATAAATTGAAAAAGATTCAAATAAAATTGCAAAATAAAATAATCTTTAAAACAAACACTAATAGAAAAATGCCAGTAGATTTTTTATGTGTTATCTTAGATGAACATTTATATATTAAAGTAAACTTTATTTTAAAAAAATTTCAATGATATGTTACTATTTCTATACTATTTATATATTTTGACTACAAATATTTTAGTTTTATGTAATTTAGGACTAGAAAATTTGCAAATAACGCTTCTCAGAAAATTTAAAA